CTGCTCCCAGCAGTACCGTCGCGTCCCGACGACTTCCTCTCGTCCTCGTCTGCTGAACCCTTGCCAGCGGACGCGTGTTTTAGTTGCTCGCAAGCAACTCGTGGGGTCTCGCTCTGCTCTGAGTCGTGAACGGGGTTGCCCGCGGACTTCACATCCGTTTCCAGCGCGGCACCTCGACAGGGATCGGGTCTTTTCGCTGATAGGCCTTTCGCCCCGACAGATCTCCGAAGCCCGGAGGCTATCACCGGTCCGCCTTCCTCGATCGGTCCACAGGTTTCACCCGTTCGTCTCCAGCGCAAAGTTGACTCTCTTGTTCCTTCGACTCGTCGACCTTTCCAGTCGATCTGTGGTTGCATGTCTTCGAAAAATGGTATTCCAAGGATGCAGTCAAATTCTTCAGGAATCGCGTAGACTACTGCGACGCATTCATACGCATCGTCTATTCCAGAGACTACGATACGAAGTGGTAGCACCTCTAGCTGGGCCTCCGCAATCTGGTTGTCTCCAAGCTTGACTCGAATGTTCTTGTCGCTGAACCTCGTTGTCTTCAGCTGGTGTTCTTCTACCCACCGCTTCGACACGTAGATCGTGGTTGCCCCACAGTCAAGAAGCATCTTTGATGTTTTCGTCATATTGCCAGCCACACTGATATCACCGCTGACGGCGAATAGTGGACGTGACTTGTAGACTAGAGGGTTTTCACTGAGAACATTAAGGCTGATATTATCAAACTTAACTGCTCCGGTTACTTTCTCCTCCACGACAGGACCCTCTTTCACTGACGTGGCTTCTCGTTTCCCTGCTTCCCTTGCTCCTTCTTCAAAGCAGTTTGCCTTGATGTGACCATGCTTGTTGCAGAAGTGGCAGGTACGAGTCTCCTTGCTCTTCGGTTTCGAGCTTGGTTTGAACCGTCCCTTTCCTCTGAAGGATTTTCCCTTGGACGTTTTCTTGTTGTCTTGATCTTGCGCACTAGATATCTTCGTCTTCTCGTGACGAACATTGCGCTCACTAGCGTCCTCCACGAAGTGGGTCACCTCAAACATGACAGCTAAGTCCATGGCGTCACTCAGCGTCTCAGGATTCTCGAGCTTCACATAGCTCCGCGTGCGAGGCTTGAGACCGTTTGCATAGAACAGCACTTGGTCAAGCACGCTCATGCCTTC